CATGACATTTAGTCCCCTCTTGTACATTTGCCTTGAGCAACAAGAGGTGTAATCAGCAACTATTTCCAAGCCAGAATCAAATAGAGCTCTCTGCTTTGGCCAGTGGTAGAACAATATTTATAAATACCAAATAAGATGTCATTTCAAGGAGCATTAAATATGTATTCTGAATAAAAAAAATTGTGAGAAAATATCACACTATACTGCAGACATTTTTAGCACCTTTAACAAATCTAACATCTGTTTAAGACTCATCGAGGCTTTGTGCGATACGTCACCACTGAACACACTGAAAGTGATTTATTATTGAAATCAACTTATTGATTCTATTGTCAGAATAAAAGGTGCTTTACTGTATTGTCTCTACAGCAGATATATGGATCACAAGAATTCCAATGCACTGAGATTGTGTGAGAAAATTCTTATTTGATTTAACTCATTTCCATGATGTGAGGACTGAATTTAGTTAAAAATATTGATTACTATTAGGCCCTTAATGATAGATGTCTCACCAATACTACTATAATTTAAATGGATTTTACATATTCATTTAATATGAAATCATTGTATAGTACAGATGTGTTAAAATAGTGCTAATTGTAATATTCAATGTATTAAATAGAGAGAGGTAAAATCTGGGGTTTTGTGCAACACTATAGTTAACGTATGTATTGCTATGAGTTTAGCATTTCAAATCACAACTTGGACATATGAAAAAAATTACCTTCACTGTCATACTGCCATACATAAAGCCTCAATAAGCCTCAGTAAGGATTTAGGTGTTGTTTTTTAATTATTTGATATTTGCGTATTTTAAATGCATTAAACATCAGCGTCAGCGCTGTTTGCAACTTTAACTATACGTCCTTCTACAGTAAATTCAATAAAATAAATAAAAATACAGAACCACATAGAGAAATTAACAATGTTAATGCTACCGCAGAACAAAAAAGTTAAACAACAATGTCAATCCAATAAAACACCGGTCTAAAACACGTATATAAGTATATAATATAAATAAATACATATATATATATATATATATATATTTCTAAAACTCTTGAATTGAAAAAAATGATTAGGATCAACTTGTCATTCTCTACTATATATACCTGGTATAATCTATCTGTCAGATTTAACAACTGCAATAACCGCTTACCCCCTTATACATACAAGACACCAGTATATTAAGGCCAACCTGTAAAAAAAAGAAAAAAATAACAAGAATAAAATATGCAAAAGATAATAATACAGTATAATACATGGGAAACCAGAAAGAAATTTAAGCACGAACTAAAACAGAGGATTTAAAAAAAAATAATGTTTTTTCAAATATTGTGAGAGATTGTCGATGTACAGAAATAGAAAGCATTATATATTATTAACCAGATCATATATACAATTATAAAAATATACACTTATATAAGTCTATAAACATACATTCATTATTACATCTCTTAGAAACAAGTAACTTATATGCATGTTACTTGAGCTTCCTCTTCCGGGTTCTATATTTGTAAAAATGTCTAACATATTTTTTTTTTTTTAATCAAAGAAAATATAAACATCTTTGGTGAATTACAGGATACAGACAAAAAGAATATGATAGAATCAATCAATTCAGACACATCAATAAGACACAACAAATACACTATTAAATACACTCATGAAATGATATTTATAAAGAGGTGTAAAAATCAATGAATACATAACAAGTGATATTAGAAGTGGATGGCTGCTTCAAAGAAAGGAATATACGAGAAAAGCAAAGAAAAAACATTTAGAGTTATCTTCAATAAATTGAATTGCATTGGCTCATAGATTTAGGTCATGGAACTTAACTATGTTTAAAATGGGAGCAATACATTATTATGTGCAGGAAGTGTTAGCAGTTAACTCCTCCTTATCCTGAATAAACTGTATTTTCATAAGTCACGAATCCTATTTCACCAAATGTGATCTATACACAACCGTGTGGCAAAGCAAAACTTATAACACAGTTTCAATGTTGTTCATGGTAGCCAGTTTTCATTTGGTATAGCCATTTTTGGATCCAGAATCTCCACAAAGTCGCCACTATATTCCACTACCACCACAAATTGAAGAATTATGGGGATAAACTTGGGTAAATATGCCAGTCTAACCGGATCTAAGAACCATCTTCTTATACATTTTAACCCATTTTCGTTGATAGTGATACATATAGATTGGCTATAACAATTTTCTAAAAATGTTTCACTAATTCTCTACTGTCAAGTTCTCACCCAGATTTTCAAAAAAGCAAACTTACTTTCTTATTATTTCAAATTCTCACAGAGACAAAAAGTCAGATTGTTACTTAGTTTTTTCTATTATTATTATTATTTATAAAGCACCAACAAATTAGGTGGACTAACAGACAGGTATTTGCAACAAGATGAGGTGGACACATGGGAACACAGGGTGTCAAGAGTCCTCCTCAAACTAACATACATTCTAAAGGGAATGGGGTAAAGAACACAAGAGGTAGGATAGGATGTATTTCATGACTGCTGATCCATATATCCATGGCCCCCACCTTTGCCCCCAATAACAAAGCAGACACCTTCTTAATGGATAAGAGCAACGGCCACAGCTTTATTAAATTTTTAACTTTAACATCAACATTATCCAACCCTGTCAGCTGTTGAGCAGTTACCCAACAGACAGTTCCCCCAATCTTTCTCCATGAGCCTCGGCAACCGGCACTTGCCATCAGCTCCCGTGAGGGCTGTCGTCTCCCCAAAGCGACTCTTCGTCTTAACCTTTTCTTTTCTGCCGTCCAGGATACCACCAAAGTCAGTCAGTTCCTGTCGCTTGTCTCTGCTGACTGGTGAGTCCCCTCCCCTAGCATCTTACAAAACAGACATTTGCAACATTTGTATCCTTTTTGATCCAGTTCACTATGCATGGTAAGCATTCATGTTCCTCCTTCCCAAGTTGTCCAGGGAGAAACTGGAAAGTAGGTTTCTAGAATAGTTTACAATGAAGAGTTGGTTTTACCAAGTATGGTACCATGGCACAAGGGAAAAAGCTTTTAAGTTTAATTTAATTAAGTTTAACAGTTTAATTTATATGCTTTCCTAAAGAATAAAGTTTAGCATTTTTTTTTAAGGAATTCAGACTGTGTAAGAGTCTAATGTAGCAGGGAAGATAAGTACTGTTGTTGGGAATCAGAGGTGCAAGCACAAACAGAGGATAGACATAGGTCTTCAGCAGAGAGTAGGTACCTGGTTGGGATGTAATTGTGTATTAGTGAGGATAGGAATATAATAGGAGCAGCGTTATGTAGAGATATGTAAGCAAGTACCAGAAATTTTAATTGAGCTCTAAATCTTAGCCAGTGTAAAAACTGACAGAGATGGGAGGCATGGGAGAGGCAGACGGACAGGAAGACGAGCCTCGCAGTTGCATTCATTATAGACTGTAACGGGGCCAGCTGGGAATACATAAGACTACTGAGAAGCAGAATGCATTAGTTATGGCGGGAGAAGATAGCAGCATTCACCAACAACTTAGCTGCATCCAGCTTTAGATAGGGTTGGATGCAAGTTATGTTTTTGAGATGGAAGCAATTGATTGGACATAAGGGGTGAAAGACAAGTGGAAGTGAAAAAAATACACACCTGGCAGCGAGCGAGTAGTGCCGTTGACTTGTATGGGGACAGACATGGAAGTAGTAATACTTGAGGCAGGAAAGATGAGAAGTTCTATTTTGGACAAGTTAAGGCCGTAAACAGCCATCCAGTTAGAAATATCAGAGAAAGGCAGCCGGAGACATGAATCAAGAGGGACTGTGAGAGATCAGAAGAGGACAGAGAGATTTGCTTGTCATCCGCATAGAAGTGATATTAGAAGCTGATGAGTTTACTAAGGGATGTAGCATATATAAAGAACAGTAGGAGGACCAAGGACAGAATCCTGGACAATAAAAATACAGACTGCGTGTTGTTGTTTTTTCCTAAGAACACTGGAAATATATTTACAATCATGTTTAAGGGTTTGATATAACTGCAAAATTCAGGCTAAAACAAAGTGTGTGAATATGGCAGAATTTAGCAAATGTATGTAAATTTACCTAAATGCTGCAATTCAGTTTTAATTTTAATACAATTATGTGTTTTTTTTTAGTGATTACATTTGTATGTTTTTTTTTCTTGGTAGTTTACAAGTGATGTGAAAAAAAACAATTCCTCTTAAGTGCTGCAATAAATCATAAATAAAATGCATCTATGGATTGCATTTGTTGTTCCATCACATCCCACAGATGTTCAAGCCAATTAAGAAATGGGCAACAGCTTGAACCAATTGTCATGTTCCTCAAATCATTCCTGAACAATTTTTGCAGTGTGGAACGATGATTTATCCTGCTGAAAGAGGGCACTGCCATCAATGAGCACCTGTGAAGAGGTGTATAAGGTCTGAAACAATCTCTAGGTAGGTCAAAGTAACATTCACATGAATTCCAGGATCCAAGGTTTTCCAGCAGAATACTGTGTGTTCTCACACTTTTCTATCATGGAAAAATTAGGTTTGTGATTAGCCCAGATGGGCTAGCCTTTGCTCCCCATGTGCATTAATGGGCCTTGGGGCCCCATGTTCTTCCTTGCTCCACTTTTACTAACCACTTCTCCCCACAAGACTTGACATTTTGGAGATGTTTTGACCCAGCTATGTAGCTATCACTATATGGTACTTGTCAAAGTCAATTAGATCTTTTCTCTTGCCCATTTTTCCTGCTTCCAGCACACGAAACTCAAGAATTCACTGATCACTTGCTGGCTAATATTTCCCACCCTTTGACAGGTGCTATTTAATCGATATCAATATTATTCACTTGCCCTGTGGGTGGTTTTAATGTTGTGGATGATCAGCGTATATATATTTAACTGCTTGTCTGGTTGCACTAACATGCACACCAACATTATGTAAATTTACACATTTCCATTTGGTCAACAGTGGGCACTGCACCCCTCACACAGGTTCGCAATCTGCGCCTCTCATCAGGCACCTTGACGGCCTTTCCAGACAAAATAGCTGAAGAATTTAGACAATACTACCAATCGCTCTACAATCTACATGAGCGGGACGGACGGGATAAAAGGGACACCGAATCTATCAGAGTGCAGGAATACTTAAGAGACACCGTGACGAAAGCAATACGCCCAGATGCGGCAGAGGAATTGGACGCCATGATTACCGCAGAGGACATTCAGGCGGCCCTGAAATCTGCTAAAACGGGAAAAGCCCCAAGCCCAGATGGTTTCTGCTCAGATACTACAAAACTTTTTCATCAATACTGTTTCCATGGTTGATGAAAGGGGGGAAACCTTTGGGAGGGAATCTCTGGCAGCCATAAAAACTGTGCTGCCAGAGCCCGGGAAAGACCTAACGGTGTGTAGCTATCGTCCAATATCTCTGCTGAACGTGAACACTAAGTTGTTCACCAAAGTCCTGACGATTGGGCTCCAAAGAGCCTTGCCATCACTGATTAACACGGATCAAACAGGGTTTATACCCGGACGGGAAGCACGAGATAGTACCATGCGGCTATTTGCGATACAACACAGAGCGAGAAAAACGCGACAACATTCGGGGTTTCTCCTGGCATACGCGGATGATCTCTTGTTTTTTGTCACCAACCCCAGAATCACGATGCCCAACCTGCTGGCGGTAACTGTGCAATTTGGCAAGATATCGGGTTTTAAACTTAACCTGTCTAAATGTGAGGTGCTAAACGTCACTCTCCCTGTGGAAGAATACGCGGCACTGGAATCTCTGTTCCCCTTCCGATGGTGCTCATGTAAAATGAAGTACCTCGGGATATGGATAACGCAGGACCCGAGCGATCTGTACTCACAAAACTTCGCCCCAGTACTGAAGACAATATTGGCGGACTTAAACAAATGGGCATACCCATATGTTTCATGGCATGGAAGAATTGCAGTTCTTAAAATGAACATTCTACCTAGAATCCTATATCCGTTCCAGATGATCCCGCTGGCCATACCCGCACTCTTCTTTGCCGCATTAAAATCAGCGGTCATTCGCTATGTCTGGAGGGGTGAACGTTCAAGGCTCCGTCATGAACTACTATGTTTGCCACGATATCGAGGAGGTCTGGCACTACCCGATTTTAAACGGGTAGTGCCAGACCTGTCCTTCAACGCATCCTAGAATGGAATGGAATGCAGACCCACAACAACGAAAACAATGGGTGGCCTTGGCACAAGAAGGACAAGGGGCCCACCTAAAGGCCGCTGTGTGGGGGAAACAGGCAAAATCGAATAACGATGGAAGAGAGGATGGATTGGTGGCACAAACGCTCACCAGCTCGAGACTCGTGAGGGAACAACAACATATCTCACCCGCACCGAGCTCACTGCTGTCTGTCACTTACAATGATGAGATGGGGAGGGACTCACATCGACAATTTGGCCCTTTGGAGGGGGATGCGAACATGTCCCCATCTCCAGGATACTACAGAATGGTGGCATGCGTACCCTGGACTCCTTGTTAGGGGGCACAACCCGGAGCCCTCTGGCAGTACTCCAATATATGCAGGTGAAACACTTTTATGATAGCATGCACAATAAAGACCGCCTACATAGAGTCCTATTGTGGTTCAAAAAGGGCTCATCTATGTGAAAAGGGCTCATCTATAGAAAAAGCGATATCCACGCTTTTCCAACATCTCCTGGTCAGACACCTCACGGAAAATAATACCTTTCGCAGGCAATGGGAGACTATGCTCGACACCACTTTTACATCCTCACAATGGGAAGGCGCTTTACTCTGGCAACACAAGAGTTCCATCAGCTCATTTTACCAGGAAACAAATTATAAAATCATTGCACTATGGTACCGGACCCCGACCCTGCAACACAAGATCTTCCCGTCAACGCCCCCAACATGTTGGAGGTGCCAAGCAGAGAGAGGCATGATGATCACTTGCTCCATATTGGGAAATGATAAGACAAAACATAACTGATGTTCTGGGAGAAATCCCTGCTTGGACAGCAGCCCTAGCACTCCTACATGTCTCACAGACGTCGATCGCAGGATATAAGAAGTCGATCTTACGCCACATACTCAACGCAGCTAAAGCCCTGATACCTATATATTGGAAAAAAATGGAGACACCTAGTATGGAAGAGTGGATCCGCAGAGTGGAGGGCATTCAGGGGGCGGAGGCGATGCAAGCATCCCTGCTTGGCAGAGGGGACAGACACGCAGAGATGTGGCGACCATGGTTTGCATGTGTATCTAGAGACCGGTAGGCCGGGACGGGAAGGGAGGGCCCGCGGAGGGGATATCAGACCCTCGGGGCGAGACCCACACTTTTCCTATACTTTGACTTACTGACAAAAAAAAAAAATAAAGCTGGAGGGCTATTATGCCTCGCCACATGTCACGCAGAAATGGAGACATGAGGGAACCCTTCTTCTCCTCTTTTCCCTCCTTTTAACCCCAGCTCACCTACCTACAATTCACACTCTTTTCTCTTTGCACGCATACACAGCCGGCTCAAAGACAACCACACTATAGAGATATGTTCTCATCCTGGTCTAGCCTAATCGGGGCAAGGGGGAGAAAACACACCAAAAAGCTACTACTTCAATCACACCTCATGGATAAATCACTAGATGAGACAGGCGTACACAATCATATGGAACAAATGGTGCCAGGGTAGCTCAGGCAGCTGAAACCTTAAACCATACCACAGATACCGCATGGAGGCATAAGATTATCTGAACTGCGGGTAATTGAAACAGCACTTAGCCATCACCATTACTACATGCCAACTGACAGGCCTCACGGCCAGTCATACCTCTAATGATAAGCCACACCCCTGACATGGAGAGCCCGCGGTGAGACCTCTGTGCTACATACATGAGCACTGAGATGAAACAGAGAGGGATGTGCGAAGGTTAATTAATAGTTGCTGAGTTATGGTTGTTCACACCACTTTGACCTAGGAATTTTACTGATACTGAATGCTATACCCGTTTTACATCTGAATACATTATAGCAGGTACAAACAGGTCGTGCATGAAATGAGCTGTTCTATCTCTATATAATACAATAAAAACAGATTTACAAAAAAAAACATTGGGCACTGCACGGTTATCGCACTGCCAATGCATCATTTGTATATCAACTTCTACGGTCAACCTAATTGCAACCACTTCGAGCACAGAAATTATTTATTTATTTAATATTTTTATAAAATATTTTACCAGGAAAGATACATTGAGATTTCTCTCATTTTCAAGTATGTCCTGGGTCCACAAAACATTGCATTGTTACATTAGGGTACAATAAAATACAAAAACAATATTAATACACAATAAATACAAAATTTAACATAGAACAGGTAGGAAATATATAATCAATCATGACAGGTGCATTCTGTTTTGAGGTATGTAGAGAGGGATCTTTTAAAGGCTTGGGGAAGATTTTAAAGTGTGCGGGAGGTCGTTCCATAATTGCGGCGCTTTGTAGGAGAAGGAGGATCAGGCTGCTTTCTTTTTGTATTGAGGTAGACTAAATAAAGTGTTGGTACTGGATCGGAGGTTATAGGACGTAGGAACAGCCGAGGGGAGCATTTTGTTCAGGTAGGGTGGGAGTTTCCCAGAAAAGCTCTTAAACACAAGGCTGGAAAGATGAAGGGTGCGTCAGGATTCCAGCGACAGCCAGTTTAGTTCTTTTAGCATGTCACAATAGTGGGTCCTGTAATTACATTGTAGCACAAAGCGGCAGAATGAGTTATACAATGTATTGAGTTTATTAATGTGGGTTTGCGATGCAGATGCATATGCTACATCCCCATAATCAATGATTGGCATCAGCATTTGCTGTACAATCTTTTCCTTTACTGTAGCGCTTAGGCATGATTTGTTTCTGTACAGGGCACATAGTTTTGGATAAAGTTTAGATACAAGTTTTTCTATGTGGAGGCCAAAAGATAGATTGGGATCTAACAACATAGCCAGGTATTTGAAAGAGTGGACTGCGGTCAGTGTGCCATTTGAATTTGTTTTGATGGATAGGTGGGAATTGCGTAATTTGTGTAATTTAGGTACTGTTCCAAAGATCATTGTGACATTTTTGTCAGTGTTTAGGAAGAGTTGTTGTTTGCAATCCACTTTTCTACCTCTGTAAACTGGTCTTGGAGCACAGCCTCAAGCTGCGGTAGATTGGATTTGCTTGCATAGATTACTGTGTTGTCTGCGTACATGTGTACATTTGAGGATTTGCAGACATTAGGCAGATCATTTATAAATAGTGTAAATAGTAGGGGGCCAAGAATGGAACCTTGGGGTATACCACACGTGACTGGGAGAGGGAGGGAGTCGCTGTCAGAAATGGACACATATTGCAAGCGATCCGATACATACAATCGAAATCAGGTAAGCGAATGCGAATGAGTTTGTGCAGTAGAATGCCGTGGTCTACTGTGTCAAAGGCCTTTGTAAAATCAGGGAAAATAGCTCCAGTTAGGTCTCCTTGTTCTATGCCAGTTTGGATGTCATTGTAAACTTTTAAGAGAGCAGTTGTAGTGGAGTGATTCTGGCGAAAGTCCGATTTATCAGGGGTCAGATAGTTTGATTGTTGGTAGTACTCACATAGTTGCGTATGGACACATTTTTCTAAGATTTTTGACAATACTGGGAGCAATGATATTGGGCAATAGAAACCAAAGTAGTGTCACCACTTTTATGGATAGGCACTACTCTTGCAGTCTTCCAAAGTTTGGGTATGTATCCAGACACCAAGGATTCGTTAATTAGGGTTGCAACGGGTTTAGCAATTGCCGGCGCACTGAGCTTCAACAGCATTGCTGCGATTTGATCAGGTCCAGACTGGTTTTTCATATAGATTATTTAGGTGTTTTGTAATGACACTAATAGGTACAGGTCTAAAAATAAACTTGTCTATATTGGGCCTTTGGAAATTAAGTGTGGCCTGATCCACATTTGTAGATTCCGGATGCATGTCATTTAGTAGCTTGGCAATCAGGGCAGTAGAGCATCCGACAAAATAATTGTTAAAGACATTTGCTACATCTAAGGGAAGTTGCAGGGTTTGGTTATCCACTTTGACAGTGGAGGGTTGGGAGTTGATTGGGGGAGTTTGTAATTTGCTAAAAGGGTGAACTTTGCTGGATAGTACTGCCACAAAAAGGTCTGAGACCCGTTTTGCCGGAAGGGCTTTCTCGATCCGAACACATCTGGGAGCCCCAAGGAAGACCTCCAACTATTATTGGTATTTACCCATGGTGGTTTTTATTTATATATTTTTTTGTAATTCA